AGTCAACACTAGTTACTATATAGCATATTGTTATCTTAGAAGTAGCTGTTCAGGTTACAAGATCTAGGCATAAATACGTATGTAGGTATACACATAAAACTCTATGCATGTATATGTGTGCAAGGTAGATAACTATACTACTGTTAGTTCAGCCCTGTATTTTTTAAGTGATACAGTTTCACTGTGTTGCCCAACCTGGCCCCACATTATTGGGCTCTATAGAACCTCCTGCCTTACCTTCCTTCCTGCAGCAACTTCAAGAAATCCTTGGGAATATCCACTTCTAACATGACCGTCATTTTTAAAAAAATACTACAATGATTAGCTACTACAACAAAAATAGCTAGTATATATTACCTAAAAACTAAGGCCTGGGGATTTAGCTTAGTAGTATAAACACCTGCCTGGCAAGTGCAAGGTTGTGAGTTCCATGCCCAGTACCACAGACACACACCAGAAAAAAAAAAAAAAAAAAAACTAAGGCAGACAATAAATATAACTCCTTGAACTTCAAGATTTGTGAAGAACAATGAAGAGGAAAAGTGTACCCTTTAATTGTGAGGAAGATGTACAAAAATATTTTCCTCCTCTCTACATGATTTAAACTGTAAAACTTTTATTTAACATTGTCTGCTTTGGATACTTGATGCCGCGCAGAACTCTCCTAAAAATTCTAGATTTGAGAGCTAGAGACTGTGGTGCATGCTTGTAATCTCAGCACCCAAGAGGCTGAGTAAGGTAAGGGAATCTCAAGTTTAAGGCCAATCTGAGACACAAACCAAGTTCAAGACCAGCTATGATTACACCATGAGATCTTGTTGCAAAAGAAAAAAAAAAAAAAAAAGGCTAATTTGAAGTGAGAATGGGAGTAATGAAGTAGCACTAAGGAAATTCAAGATTCTTTTTATCTGACCTCAGACTATAAACTGCTATGAAATGAATCACTAAAAGAAACTCAATTGTGATTCTCAGAGAAAATTTTATTCATTAGGATCATTTTTTTCCAAAAAAAATTATTTTACTATAAATAAAATTGTATTTTTCAAATTTTTATTAGTACATGTTTACAATACATAATGATTACATTCATCATGGGGAATTGATACATGTATATAACACATCTTAATTTATTCTAGTTCCCTTTTTCCTCCCCACCCTCCATCATTTACTTACTTTTTTTTTTCCCAAGACAGAGTCTCAGGTCTTGCTATGTAGTATATTTACTTTTTTTTTTTTTTAAAGATTAAAATACAAGAGGACATAACAAAACAGATCAGAACAAAACAATTTAAGCAGCATAGTGTTTCACCACAAGACAACTCGGCATAACAGTAGCTACCATAGTGTCTCTTTCCTTGAAATATTTGAGTATAACTTCATATACTGTAGTATCAAACATAACAAGATAGTATAAAACCATTCAAGAGAATGAAAGTATTCTAGGGTATTCAAAACCTTCTAACAGAAAACGAACAATGGTTACTATATTATCTCCTTGTCCATAAAAAATTGTGTTTATACTATCATATATATAATAAAATCCAAATAAGATACAATATGATAAAACTGATAGAGACAAAAGAATAAAAGCTTGGTAGGACTTCAAAGCAAGATGGTATTAAATCAGCACTAGTTATTATAATGTCGTTTTCTTCAAAATAGCTGTTCATACCATCACAGACAATAAAATCAAACAACCCAGAATAAAACCATTCCAACTAATGAATAAAAACATTACAAGACTTTAAAAGACTCTGATATAACTAGTGATTTTTACTGTTATTTTTTGACTAGTCATTTCTTACTTTTTTTTTTAAATTCTGTATTATTTCTACCCTTTTTTCTATTTTCTCTAAATAAAAAATTCTGACATATTAAATTGATAACTTAGAAAATAACTTTTTATAACCCTCTATCATTAATGAATTCTAAAATTTTGCGCATTATTTTAAAAATCAAAACACTAGTATTTAAGTAAAGAGAAAATTGGGAACATATAAAACACACTGAAAAACTGTCAAATGTCATTTACCACCCTTTTAATGCATACTCAGAATAACTTACATTTTTTAAATGTCGAGTTTCTAAAATAAAGTTTTTTCTCTACAACAGGGGCATTAGAAGCAACAAATTAGTCCCGTACAAAATGTTAAAAAGAATACTTTGACTAAAAAAACAGTTCAAATATCAGCAAGCACAGAGAACCCTTTTAAAAAATTCTCTTCTGAATAATGAATGATTGCCCTATTCTTATACATTTCTATTTTACTGCTAGCTTTTTTTTTTTTTAATCAGGGCTCAAACTCATGACCTTGCACTTGCCAAGTAGGCACTTGTGCCACTGAGCTATATCCCCAGCCCAAATTATATTTGTTTGTTTGGGGGATCACACTCACAACCTTGCACTTGCCAGGCAGGCACTTGTGCCGCTGAGCTAAACCCGTGGCTCCAGAATTTGAAGAGACAAAGCAAAGTGGGAGCACAAAGAGTGCTTAACTGTTGTAATTTATCATGCTCTGAAATCTTGATCAAAATACTATCTTTTTAAAAAAAAAAAAAAACACGCAACTGAATAGTTAGCAATGACAGTTTACAACTCACAGCCATGGCCTAATACTTTCAATCACCTGTGGACAATTTGGGCACCTTGAAGAAACTAACAGCTTTATGCAATAACTGTGCAGAAAACTAATGTATACAGTAGAGTGATAATTAAATTCATAAACCCAGCCTGCATTTTTTAAAGAAAGAAGAGAAAATTTAGAAAACAAAATAGAAAAAATAAGAAAAAAGTAGAATACAGAATTCAAAAAAATTAACATCATAACATCACTAGTTGATACATTACATATTGTTATCTTAACAACAGTTGTTAAAAGTTACAGAAACAAAGCACAAAAAGTGGCTACACAAACATTAACAGTGCAATCTATTCTGCTCAATGATCTAATAGAAATTTAGTAATATGGTCATCTAACTTACATACTATACATACTGTTATATCCTTTAGAGCACTTTCCTTCCGCTTCACTTTTAGAATATCTGTTATATTTTTTGGATCTCATTATTCTGTCAGTTATTATTTTTTACACTAGAGAGACAATGTAATATTTACTAATGTAAGTCTTGTTTATTTCACTAATGAGGATATTCTCAAGTTACCTCCATTTACCTATAAAGGCCTCAAGACCATCCTTTTTATACCTGAATAGTATTTCAGTGTATAAAAATACAACATTTCTTTGATCCACTCTGTGGTTGATGGGCATTTGATTGTTTCCATGATTTAGCTATCACAAATTGTGCTGCTATGAACATGGATGCACATAGATCACTGTGAGGGGACCTTTTTAATTTTTCTGGGAAAATACCCAGTAGTGGAAGAGCTGGATTGAATGGAACTTTCAATTCTAGTCTTTTGAAGAATCTCCATACTAATTTGCACAGTGCTTGCACCAGTCTGCACTCCCACCAGCAGTGGAGAAGTGTTCCCTTTTCCCTGCAACCTCGCCAACATTTGTTATCAGCCATTCTTTCTGGGATAAGATGAAATCTCAATGCTGTTTTAATTTACATTTCTCAAATGACCAGTGATGATGAACATTTCTTCATATTTATTGGCCATTTGTATATCTTCATCTGAGAACTGTGTGTTCATCAGTGATGCCCATTTTTGAAGAGGGTCTTTGAATTTGGGAGCTTTGATGTTTTTCAAGTTCTTTATATGTTCTGGATATAAGTCCTCTGTCTTAAGGGATTGTTGGCTAAAATTCTTTCCCATTCTGTGGATTTTCTTTTCATTTTGTTGGTGATTTCTTTTGAAGTGAAAAAACTTTTTAGTAATATGAGATCCAGTTGTTGATTCTTGGAAGTATTTCCCATGCGGTTTGCATTTTATTCATGAATTGTCTCCCTACCACAATGTCTTCTAAGATTTTTACCTAGCTTGTTCTCCAGTAGATTTAAGTGTTTCTGTTTTAATATTTAGATCCTTAATCCATTTTGACTTTAGTTGAGTGTAGGGTGATAGGCATGGGGCTAGTTTCAGTCTTCGGCATGTGGAAAGCCAATTTTTCCAACACCATTTATTAAAGAGGCTATCCTTCTTCCAGTGAACATGTTTAGCCCTTTGTCAAATACCAGGTGACTGAGTGTCTTTGTATTAGTGTTTGCATCTTCTGATCTATTTCATTGATTCTCCGGTCTATTTTTTTGCCAGTACCATGTTGATTTTATTACTGTGGCTTTGTAGCATAATTGAGATGCCTCCTGTCTTGCCTTTGTTGCCCAGAATTGCCTTTGCTATTCTAGGTTTATTCTGTTTCTCAATGAATTTTAGGAATATTTTCTCTAGAGCTTTAAGGTAAGTTAATGGTATCTTGATTGGGATTGCATTAAATCGATATAACAGTTTTTGGAGTATGGCCATTTTCACAATGTTGGTTCTTCTGAGCCAAGAGCAAGAAATATCCTTCCATTTTCTAATATCTTCCTCAATCTCCTTTTTTAGAGTAGTATAATTTTCAGCATATATAGGGCTTTCACATTCTTGGTTAGGTTGATTCCTAAGTTATTTCATTTTCTTAGATGATATTGTGAAAGGTGATATTTCCATAATTTTTCTCTCATGGAGTTTTTTGTTTGTGTATAGGAATGCTATTGATTTTTGAGCTTTGACTTTGTATCCAGCTATGCTGCTGAATTTATTACCTCTAGTAGTCTTTTAATGGAATTTTTGGGGTCTTCAATGTAAAGTATCACATCATCTGCAAATAATGATAATTTAACTTCTTCTTTTCCTATTTTTATTCCTTTTATGTCTCCCTCTTGTCTGATTGCTCTGACTAATATTTCCAAAACTATATTGAATAGGAATGGTGATAGTGGACATCCTTATCCTGTTCCTGATTTTAGAATGAAGGCATTTTTGTCCATTTAGTATAATGTTGGCTGTTGGTTTGTCATAGATGGTCTTCATAAGATTGAGGTACACGGCTAGTCCTATGGTGCCCAAGAGGGGTTCGGAGCGAGGTTGTTCGGTGCCTAAGAGCACTGAGAAGCTCTTGGACACCCTACTGCAGACTCTCTACGACATGGGAGAGAAAGAAGGTGAAACAGGACAGAAGAAAATCAGAAAGAAGAGAGAAAATAGGAAGACAGAAGGGGTTGCAGTAGCTGTGGCAGAGGACAAAACTCCACCTGGTTCTTTCACAAAAAAAAAAAAAAAAAAAAAAAAAAACAGAAGTGTTTCCAGCTTTTTCAGGGAACTCAGAGAAGAGTTGAACCATGCCTCTGTGATCACCTCACACAATCCACCTTCAGGAGCAAAAGTTCCTACTGCTGCAGGATCACCCTCTCCCCTGCAAAACTACAAGGAGCAAGTGGAAGTGGTAGAATTTCACAGCAGAAATAAAAAAAGAAAACCAAAGCCAGATCAAGATGAGTGCATAAAGACTAAAACCAGTGTCCATGAGAAAGATGCAGATATTCAAGAATTTAATCTAGAAAAGGCTCGGTTGGAAGTGCACCGATTTGGGATCACGGGCTACGGGAAGGGAAGGGAAAGGAAAGGAAAAAGGAAAGGAAAGGAGAAGGGGAAGGGGAAAGGGAAGGGGAAGGGGAAGGGGAAGGGGAAGGGAAGGGAAGGGAAGGGAAGGGAAGGGAAGGGAAGGGAAGGGAAGGAAAGGAAAGGAAAGGAAAGGAAAGGAAAGGAAAAGAAAGGAAAGGAAAGGAAAAGAGTCCTGGAACAGGAACGTGCCATCATGCTCGGTGCCAAGCCTCCCAAAAATAGTTACGTAAATTACAAAGTTTTACAGAACCAGCTCAAAGAAAAAAAGGCAGCAAAGGAAGAAGAGAAGAGAGTGGCCAGGGATGCAGATATTTTCAAGAAGAGGAGGAGAGGGCAGGAAGATAGGAAATCCAAGAAGAAGAGGACAGCTCCCAGTATTTTGTCAAGCGGAAGAGTTGGGCAGGTTGGAAAATTCAAAAATGGGACATTGATCCTGAGCCCACTTGATATCAAGAAGATAAATTCTTCCAGAGTACCTAAATGAAGTACTTCATCAGATAAAGAGAACAAATGACCATCTGACCTTGGACCTGACCAGACTTCCAGACAGCTCATGTGCCAGGCGCTGCCTCTGCACTTGAGGAAGGCAGAACCTTTGTGGGTTCTGCCGTATCTGTGTGGAGCTACACCACAGGCCGAGGGAGCAGGCCTCACTTCCATTCCTGTGCATTGGTGCTGGGCCACTCTGCTTGCGACACTATTTTTTATCTTACTGTCTTATAAATGCTAGTAATTAAGTTGCCTTTTAATATTTTTAATGACGTTACTCGATCATGAAATAAGCACAGCTTTTATAGAAAAAAAAAGATTGAGGTACACACCATCTATTCCAAGTTTCTGTAGGGATTTGGTGAAAAGGTGTTGGACTTTATTGGAAGCTTTTTCTGCATCTACTGAGAGGATCATGTGATTTTTATCTTTGGCTCTGTTGATGTGGTGTATTACATTTATTGATTTGCTAATGTTGAACCACCCCTGCATTCCTGGAATAAATCCCACTTGGTCATGGTATATAATCTTCTTGATGATTTGCTGCATTCTATTTGCCAAAACTTTATTGAGAATCTTTGCATCAATGTTCATTAGTGAGACTGTCTATAGTTCTCCTTTTTCATTGAGTCTTTCTCTGGTTTTGGTATCAGAGTGACACTTGCCTTCAAGAATGATTAGGGGGAACTGCTTCTCTTTCAATTTCATTGAAGAGTTTAAGGAGAGTTGTCATAAAATCTTCTCTAAATTTCTTATAGCATTCAGCCACAAATCCATCAGGATCTGAACTTTTCTTTGTTGGTAAGTTTTTAATCACAGTTTCAATATCAGTAGCTCATACTGGGTTATTCAAAATTGCTGTATTCTTCTTGATTGAGCTTTGGTAGTTCACATGTTCCTAGCAATCTATCCATTTCCTCTGTTTCCCACCCTATTTGAGTAGAGATTTTCAAAATAGGTGTTCATGATCTTTTGAATTTCCACAGGATCTGTAATTTCCTTCTTTTCAGTCCATACTGCATGGAATTGAGTTTTTTCTTTCTTTTTCTTGATTGGCCACGAGTTTATCAATTTTGTTTATTCTCTCAAAAAAACAGCTCTTTGATTCATTAGTTCTTTGTATTGTTCTTTTGTTTGTTTGTTTCAATTGCATTAATTTCTGTTCTAATCTTTACAAATTTCCTCCCTTCTATGAGCTTTGGGTTTGACTTGCTCTTCCTTTTCTAGAAGCTTGGGATGTAGCATTAGGTTATTTGTGTTCATTCCATTTTCTTGATGTGACTATTTATTGCTATAGATTTCCCTCTTAGGACTGCTTTCATTGCACCCCATAGGTTACAGTATGTTGTATCTGCATTTTCATTGTATTGTAGGTATTGTTTTATTTCTTCTTTAATGTCATCTGGAACCCACTGGTTATTCAGAAGGTTGTTTTTAATTTCCATGGATTTATGAAGGTTTTGCAGGTTTTTTGCTATTGATTTCCAATTTTAGTGTGTTATGATCAGATATTATGCATTGGATAATTTCACTCCCTTTATATTTAGTTAAGAATGCTTTATGGGTTAATTAGATGGTCTCTTTTGGGGAATATCCCATGTGCAGCTGAAAAGAATGTATATTCTGATGTGGTAGGGTAGAACACTGTAAATATCCACTAAGTCCATTTGCTCACAGGTATGATTCACTTCTGTTATTTCTTTGCTGACTTTTTGTCTAGTTGACCTATCTCTTTGTGACATAGGGTGTTAAGGTCTCCTATTACAATTGTATTCTTGTGCTTTTGGTTTTTCATGTCCATTTGTATTTGTCTTATACAGTTGGGTACTTCTGTATTTGGTGCATATATATTTATAATTGTTAGTTCTTCTTGTAGTTATCCACTTAGAAGTATGTAGTGGCCTTCTTTATTTCTTTTAATCCTTTTAGGTTTGCAGTTCACTTTGTCTGCAAACAGAATAGCTACCCCTACCTTTTTCTATGTTCCTGTTGCATAGAATACTGTTTTCTGTTGACTTTTAATCTATGAGTTTCCTTTTGGGTCAGATGTGTTTCTTGTATACAGCATATTGTGGGATCCTGTTTCTTGATTCATTCTGTCAACCTGTTTCTTTTGATAGGTGAATTGAGCCCATTTACATTTATGGATATCACTGATATGTACTGGCTTGATTTTGCCATGTTGTGTTCCCATTGTTGGTTTCTTGCTTTTCTCCCTTAATTTCTTGTCTAGCCTGGTGGTTTCTTTCTGCTGTTGTTCAGGGGATTGTGGTCATTTTTATCTCTACCTAGCATGTCTTTCAGTACTTTTTCTAGGGCTGGTTTGGTGGACATAAATTCCTTTAGTTGTTCTTTGTAATGGAAGTATCTTGTTTCTCCATTATATTTGAAAGACAGTTTTTCTGGGTACATCAGTCTGGGTTGACAGTTGTTTTCTTTCAGGGCTTGAAATACTTCACTCCAAGCTTGTCTCAATTTGAAGGTTTGTGCTGAAAAGTCTGCCGTGAGTCTAATAAACTTTCTTTTTTTTTTTTCTTTTTTTTTATTTAAGGAGAAAAGAAAAAAAAACAGTGAAGGGGTACAAGTTATACAGATTTACAGAAGAAAAAAATGCACTGTAGGAAATCACTAGTTAATGGATTACATATTGCCATCTTAGAAATAATTGTTCAAGTCACAAAATTAAAGCTTGTAGAGTGGACATTCCAACAATGATACTGCAAACAGTTCTGTTCAATGATCCAATAAAACTCTGTGATATCATTTTCTATCTTATACACTTAAATATACATGCAGTTTTATAGTTTAGAGCACTTTCTTTTCCTCTTTTTTGTATAATGACTATTACACATTTTGGGTTTCATTGCTCCCACGGTTCTTATTGCTTTTTTGGAAGAGAGTAAAACCAAATGTGACATAACAGAACAGAATCGGTCAAGTCAAAAGGGTGGACATAATAGATAATATAAAAACATAATACAAGGTGATCAACAATGGTTACCATAATGCCTCCTGCTATCTCTAATAGAATTGCCTATATCATTAGTTGTAATACAATTGAACAAAACAGTAAAGAACAAAACCGACAAAACCAAAACATTGGAGACATTGTAGGTCTTCAAAAGTAGATAAAAGTCAACGAGAATGGGCGTTATGATGAATCTCATTATCTTCTCAGCTGATGCCTAAACTTTCGAACCTGATACTATCCAGCAAAACAGAATAAAGGAACCGCAGGCAAAAACAAGATGGTGAGAGTAATACAGGGCTCAAATCGAGATAATAGAAAGTCAAAGTGGGTTACTATATTATATCCTGCTATTTTTTTCCCTTTAATTAAACGAATAAAAATAAAAAAGTAAATAATGGAGTAGAGATTGAGAAAAAAGAGGGCACAACAGCGAAACAGGGCAGATCAAAACATAACCATTTAAGCAGAATAGTGTTTCACCACCAGATAATTCCGACCCAAAAGCAGTTACCATATTGACTCTTTCCTTGAAGTCCTTGAGTACAACTTCGTATACTGTAGCATTAAGTATATCAAAACAATGTAAAACCATTTAAGAGGATGACAGTATTATAGAGTATTTACAATCGACTAACAGAAAATGAACAATGGTTTCTGTATATTCTCCTTGTCTTTAAAAGGTTTTTGCTTATACTATCATACATAATAAAATCCAATAAGATACAACCTGTTTAGACCATTGGAGACAGAAGAACAAAAGTTAGATTGAGACTTCAAAACAAGATGGAACTAAATCAGTATTACCTATTAAGATGTCATTTTCTCCAAAATAGCTGTTCCTATCATCCAATCTTCTCTGTCTCATTTCTGTTGAGCTCTTTTTCTGTCAGTAGCTGTCAGTTTGTCTTCTTCATTTTGTTCTCTGCTCCATTCGTTGTGGCCTCCCTGCCACTATTTCTGGGTTCTTTGTATTTTTCTTTTTTTAGAATATCCTGCAATACTTTCTGTAGGGTTGAATTGGTGGTTGCAAATTCCCCCAGTTCCTCTTTATCCTGGAAGCACCTCGTTTTTCCATCAATTTCCAGGGACAGTTGTGCAGGATATCTCAATCTTGGCTGGAGATTATTATCTTTCAAAGCTTGAATTATTTCCCCCCATGCTCTTCGTGATTTGATGGTTTGTGCAGAGAAATCTGCTGTAATTCTGATGGGTGTTCCCTTGTAAGTGGTCTGTTTCTTGTCTCTGACAGCTTTTAATATTCTGTTCTTGTATTGAATTTCTGGAATTTTTATTATTATATGCCTGGGTGTTTCTCTGTTAGGGTTGTAGGTAGCTGGGGTCCTGTATGCCTCATACATCTGAGTATCTTTACCTTTTGCTAAATTAGGAAAATTCTCCTGGATTATTTCTGTGAGTAGCTTTTGTAGTTCACTTGTTTGTGTCCCTACTTCTTCTTTTATGTTCTTAATCCTTAAGTTATGGCTCCTCTTATCATCTTCTTGTCTTTGTATTATTGCTGTTTGTTTCTTTGTTATTTTTAAGAAGTTTTTCATTTCATTCTCCCATATTACAAGTCTGCCCTCCAGTTCAGATAGTCTGTCCTTAGTTTCTTTCAAGCTGTTATGCCAGTCTTGGATAGACTTCTTAATTTCTTGATAGTCCCTTTGAACCTGCTTCACATACTCAATGCTTTCTCTGTTTTCTCCATCAAGCAATTCTCCCCTCTTTTTCTGTTCCTCCATTCCACCATCTGTTTTTTCCTGGGTGGTGCTTAGCATTTCTCTAACTATTCTGCATACTTCTAGCTTCAGGTCGTTGATAACTTCATTCCTGAATTGGTCTATGAGGCTCTCTATATGGCGCTTAATGTATATTGGTGCGGTGTCCACTATTGCCTGTTTCTCAGAATTGGGGGCCGAGGAGCCTTTCTTGTTGCTTCCCTTCCCCATATTTTCTGTCCCTTATAAAATGCAAGCTTACATAGGAGGCCCGGCTTCCCTGCCTGTCAGCCACAGCCTGATCAAATTGCGCTGGCTAGGTGTTCCCGCCCACCGCTGCGCACCAGGGAGTTGCGGAGGAGGCAGCCTACGCGGGAGTCAGTCGCTCCTCCGGGCCACCGT